GTGAAACTTCAGTCACTGATTCGATTCAGAGGAGATTCGGCCTGATTCAGCAGCTGAATCTCAGACTCTGAACTGAATTAGGAGGCCCATTAATCTCTCCGAATCTAATTGGATTCAGACAGATTTGATGATTCAGCCATAGACATAGATTTATATGTTTTTTCTACATACCTCAAGGTACCGAGCGTGGCTCATGAATGCTGAGATGGTGGGGCAGATGGAGCATCCCATGGGAGCACAGGGGGTCCCCTGCACACTCAGCGGCGGACCCGGAAGTGGACAGAAGTACTTCCAGTTCATTTCTGGGTCTGTCACTGAGCACGCAGGGGCTCCCCCGTGCTGCTGTGGGACACACCATCCGCCCCACCATCGCAGCACTCACAAGCTGCACCTGGTACCTCAAGGTATGTAGAAAAAATATATCATGCTGTGTCTATGGCCGAATCACTGATTCTGTGAATCAGAATTAAATCTTCAGATTCAGATTTGGCCGAACTGATATACTGCGTCAACTGGATCACCCTGATCCACCTGCTTATTGACATCCTTAAAGAACTCTAGTAGACTGGGGAGGCATGATCTCCCATTGACAAAACCATATTGATTCCTCTCCAGCATGTCCTCCTTCCCATCCCTCCCCCTTCCTTGGGGTAAGAGGGTTGGAGGATTTTTTCATTTTGATTCAGCTGGCGTTTGTTTATACTTAAGAAAAAATCAGGCTAAAAGAGCCTGGAACAGGAACAGAGCATGGTTGGCTTGCATTATTCAAGATGGTGGATTAGAGACCAATCTATAAGGGAGACTCTTCATCTTTCCTCTTGAAACTGATCCTTGTGCAGAAAAAGAATTCAAGGCACATTGGGCTGGAAAGAGAACCCAAGAGGGAGGCTGACCCTGTGGCCTAGCAGTTAAGCTACTTGCCTGGGATGGTAATCCTTGGTTTATGTCCTTGCTTCACACATGGGTCTTGTATGTCATCAAAAAAATTGATTTTTATGCAAAAATATGACTTTCAAAAGAAGTCTGCCCTATTGTGTATATGCAAGCCCATTTTGATGTGTTTATGAAGCCCCAGGGAGAGGTGGTTCAGACAGACAGTTTAGTCAGAGTCACTGTTAAAAAACTTGAATTTTCAGATTCAAAACAGAGATATTTTTGCTGCCTCACTCTTCACTTGAGCGGTTTTCCTTTTGGCGGTAGGGTTCTTCTGTTTATTATTGTTAGATGGAGATCACCTGAGAACAGTCTTGAGAAGGACTGGACTCTGAGATACTAATTAGTTGCTATGCATATTGAGATGTCCAAGGAGTCTTTTCGTGTAGAAAACTTAGCCCAAATTCAGAAACAACAAGAATATTTGCTTTCATTTGGTTGCCCTGATGAAACAGTTCTGGTATTATTCCCAATCCTGACAGAGATTCTAGTGAAGTGGCACACCTGATATGAAACATTGTATAGCTACAGCTAATAGTCTTCTGAGTTCTGAAAGCTGAGATAAGAAGAAATGGATCCACCCCACTGTCCTCTCAGAGTCCTAAATAAAGGGCTCCTAAGGTTGAGATGCAGAATCCAGTGAATAGTTTGTAGCAGTTTCTAAAACCCATCCATTCTGAGACCAAATGTAGACAAGAGACAGGAAAAATGTGACACTTCCCTGAAAATACCATGGGAGGTATTCGATTTGTAAGGTGTCCATTGCATCTCTGTAGGAACGTTAAGCAGAATCAGAATATAAATATGAAGAGAGTACTTAAACAAAAGGAGATGCTATAGTGAGTCGACCACAGTTCCATCTAGTCCCATGTCCTGTACCTTACAATGGTACAGAGCAGATGCCAAAGGAAAGAGTATTTATGCCACTGGTTCTCAACTAGGGTGGAGTGGTACGAGACCCCCCTTAAGGTTGCTGTCATGCAGGCGCTGCTGCTATAGCCAGATAAATGTCCTGCATGCCTCATGCACAGCCAGGTTAGGAAAGGCTGTGGCACATGCTGGTGCCTCCATTACAGTTATCTGATAAAACTAAAGCAAGCAGGAGTGCCCACTTGTGTTTTAACTCTTCATGGTCCAGCCCTGCATGGCATCTTCCAGAAACAGAGGTGTGCGGAACACATCTACTTGTCCCACATGCTTCTGCTCATAGAATCAGAAAATTAGGATTGGAAGGGAGCTCAGGAGGTCACCTCAACCCCCTGCTCAAAGCAGGACCATCCCCAACTAGATCATTCTAGCCAAGGCTTTGTCTAGGGTCTTAAAAACCTCCAAGGATGGAGATTCCACACCCACTATGGGTAACCTGTTCCAGTAATTTACTACCCTCCTGGTAAGAAAGTTTTTCCTAATATCTAACCTAAACTTCCTGTGCTGCAACTTGATACCATTTCTCCTTGTTCTATCATCTGCTACCACTGAGAACAGTCCAGCTCCATCCTCTTTGGAATCCCCCTTCAGGTTTTTGAAGACTGCTATTAAATCCCCTCTCAGTCTTCTCTTCTCCAGACTAAATAAGCACAGTACCCTCAGTCTCTTCTCATAAGTAGGGATCCAGGTTTTCTGTTTCCTGTAGAAAAATGGAGAAAAATGCAGGTTTCACCTTTTAAAATGAGAAATCCGTGATTTTCTCAGGTAATGGAGAAACACGCAGATTTTGCACTTTTGCAAAGAGCTCGCTGGAGGCTGGCAGAGTTCCAGCTTGCAGGGGGCTGGGAGGGAGCTGGAGGAGGGCAGGCAGACAGGGGGCGCTATGTGCATGTATATGCACATGGCTGCCAGGCAGCCTGGAGAGCAGCTCCTGCATGTAGGTCTGGCTGTGGGGAGAGGGGAGGGAGGGGAATTGAGGCCCCCATAGGGAGAGAGGGAGTGAGTTGGGCAGGGCTATGGCGGTGGCTGCTGCCTAGCCAGGCGGTGCATTGGGCTTGGGGCCCAGGGCTGGAATGCATGACCATAGGGCCCCAATGGGGAGTGGGATGGGGCTGTGGGTGGCTTGTTCGGGTGGTGAGGGAGTGGGGCCGGCTCCCCGCAACTGTGTGCACTCCTGGGGAGGGCAGGGGGGACCCGTGCCCCGCGGATCTGTGGGACGGCAGGAGCGGGTGTGGGCTGCCTCCTGCAGGCTCGGGCTCCCTTCCCTGCTGCCTTCCCAGGGGCCCCTGCAGTCCAGCAGGCAGGACCTGGCACAGCAGGACAAAGTGGGACTGGGCAGGGAGCTCCTTGCTGCTGCAATCCCTGTGTCACCCTGTTGATGTGTCCCCTGCCCACCCTGCAGCAGCATGGGTACCCCAGTCTGCCTTGTTTTGCCGGGTCCTGTCCACCGGGCTGTGGAGGCGCCAGGGAAGGGCAGCAGGGCAGGGAGCCCAAGCCCGCAGTAGGCAGCCTGCAGCTGCCTCCACCTCATTCACAGATCTGGGGAGCATGGGTCCCTCTGGCCCCCAGGACTGTGTGCAGAGGCGGAGAGCTGGGCGCCCCCCCACCCAAGCCCGCAGCAGGCAGCCCACACCCAACCTGCCCATGGGCTCTGGTCCAGCTGTGCTGCCCATGAGGGGTGGTGGGTGTGGTAGAGAGCCAGGCTTGGTTCCACTGCAGCAGCCACTGCCTCCTGCAGGCAGCATCTCGGGCTCGGCTGCTGCTGCAGGGGACATGGGGCTGCAGACCCAGATCCTGGGCCTCATAGCCCTGGCAGCTGGGGGCCCCCTTTGGCAGGGCTAGGGGAGAGGCAGGTAACTGTGTGTGGGATTTGGGGGGGGAGGGCACCAGCAGAGCCGGTGGGTTGGGGGAGGGGAGTGAGAAGCACCATCAGGGCTGGGGGGCTGTGGCTTGGGAGTGAGGGGCTTGAACCTGCATTCTGTGAGCTAAGGGGGCAAGGGGAGCTCTGATTTTCCATGATAAAAAAATGAAAAATACCAAAATTTCTAGGTTTTTAGAATTTATTTTATTATAGTGATTAAGGCACTGATAGGCTTCCAAATTACTTGTAAATTGTAAATATATCAATAAAACCTTGCGTTGGATCCCTGTTCATATGTCATGCGTCCCAGCCCCCTCACCATTTTGGCTGCCCTCCACTGGACTCTCTCAAACTTATCCACATCCTTTCTGTAGTGGGAGGCCCAAAACTGGACACAGGACTCCAGATGTGGCTTCATCAGTGTAGAACAGAGGGTAATCTGCTGGCTAAGCTTCTATTAATGCAGCCCAGTGTGCTGTTTACCTTCTTGGCAACAAGGGCACGCAGTTGGCTCATATCCAGCTTATTGCCCACTGTAACCCCCAGGTCTTTTTCTGCAGAGCTGCTGCTTAGCCAGTCAGTCCCCAGCCTGTAGTGGTGCATGGGATTGTTCCATCTTAAGTGCAGGACTTTACACTTGTCCTTATTGAACCTCATGAGATTTCTTTTAGTACAGTCCTCTAATTTGTCAAAGTCTCTCTGAATCCTAGCCCTGCCCTCCAGTGCATCTACTACTCCCCCTAGTTTGGTGTCATCTGCAAAATCATGGAGGGTGCACTCCATCTCATCTTCCAGGTCATTGATAAAGATATTGAACAAAACTGGCTCCAGGGCTGACCGCTGGGGCACTCCGCTCGATACCAGCTGCTATCTAGACATCTAGCCATTGATTACTACCACTGATCACTCCCAGGTCTTGCCAAGAACCCACTGGAAACATGCCCCCAGAGCCATGCAATATGTGCAGCACCCTTAACTAAAGTACAGGTGTTTCTCAGAAGTAAAAGAATATAAAAATCAGGCTGGAAAGCTTGCATTTTTTTTAGTTTAAAAACTTGGGAGTGCTTATCCTTTAAGCTATTGATTTTAGAGAAATTTACCCTGGCAGATAAGGAAAATAGTAGATAATAAGACTGGACAAATTCTATTAGTAATGTTTGATGCGGTGGGAGAACTTGCGTATAAATTTGGCTCCTCATGTTTTCAAAATGAGAAAATTATTAAACAGACAAGTATTCTGGTAACAATGTTTTTATTTTTCCTTTTATTTCCCTCTCAGATAATGGTTCTGGATCAGGAGAAGGAGGTGAGTACTCAATCCTAGTTGCACTAACATTTTGTTTTATTTTAATTGCATGCTTGTGGGTCTCTGATAGTTAAAGGGACACTCTTGCCTTGAAATGATGAAAACTAGATAATTCTTAACAATTCTTTTAGTTTTAATATTCTAACATAGGATGAACCATAAATGAAGGCATTTTTTCCAAGCTTTGATTTTATATAACTAGTTTGCAGTTTGCATTTTAGCTACCTTGGATGTGGGATTTGGCTTAGTTATTTTGGGTGCATCTACACATGTGCTTTAATGTGCATTATCCTGTTCTAATGTGCATTAAAACATCACAAAAAGTGCTATTTAGTTAATGCGCATTAAATAGACTAATGCACATTGAGCGTCACTTGAAAACTGTGGGCGTTTGCAGGCAACACTTTAAAGCAGGTTGAAAGTAGGTTAAGTGCCTTTTGCATCACTTTAATGTCATTACTGTTTGCACATTTGGCAGTGTATTGTGCATTAATTCCAGCTGCTGTAGCATATTTGGCAGTGTAATGCGCCTTAAATGACTTTGAGATGCAGCAAATGACTTTGGAGCACTACAAACTAACACACCTCTGAGGAGTTTTAGCTTCCTACCTTACAGCTGTGGAAGGAAGCACCAGGCTCAGTGCGGTTTAGGGACTGTGCAGGCAGACTGTGCAGGCAGCCTGGCAGCAGCCCGGGAAGGCAGACTCCACAAAAGGGGGGGAAAAAAAAATAAAATAAAGCAGCGAGCCTGATCTTTTTCTTCCCCCCGCCCCACCCCCCCGAGCCTGCCTGCCTGCCTGAGCTGCACAGGGTCCCAGTGCTTCCCTCCACAGCTGCACTGCCCCCTGGGACTGCCCAAGCTGGGTGCCTCTGGCGGGGGGGGGGGGGCCACTGCTGCCATGGAGGGAAGCACCAGCTCTCCCCTCCACCCCTCAGCTCAGGGACCGCTCTGCCTGCCAGCAGCTCGCTCTCCCCTCCCCACCGCTGGAGAGACAGGTAAGGATAGGGCGGACATGGATATACACGACACAGGGGTTTACTTCGCCCTAAATTGAAATGGTGTTTTTAAAAAAACACCGCTTCAATTTAGGGAGAATTAAATTCCCCCGTGTTGTGTACAAATGCCCTGTGCTCTTTAGTTAATGAGCATTAAAACAGACTAATGCACATTTTCCTAGTACAGTAAAAGCTCTGTTATCTGGCATCCCCTGGGAATGGGGAATGCTGAATAACAAAATATGGCAGTTAATTGAGCGGCCCCGGCCGCCGCTTCCCCCACCGCGTCTGGGGCATCCCTCTGCCCCTCCCGCCGCATCACCACTGGCCCCACGGGACAGGGAGGTGGGCCCTGCACAGCCTGTTATGCCCCCAGGCTGTGGGGGCTCAGCAACGCAGGCTGCTTTGCCCCGGGCCATGGGGGCTCGGAGAAACCGGATGTGCCACAGTAGGCACTTCCGGTTTCACTTTATCTTACAAGCCGGCATGCTGGTTAGTAGAGCATGCCGGCTTGTAAGATGCCGGTCAACAGAACTTTTACTGTACTTCACAAAGGAGGACACTTTTACATGTGTTCTGGGGTGGTTGTGTATCACTTTAATTAAAGCGGTTCTGATAGCTGCTCTAATTAAAGCACTGCCATGTCTTCTGTATCAGTATCCCCGCAGTTAAAAATGGTGGCAGGGACCCTTGAACTAAAGCTTGTTTGACAAGCTTTAGTTCAAATGCCCTCCCTACCATTTTTAAGTACAGGGACACTGATACATGAGACACTGAAGGCTGCTGGTAATTACTGTGTGGTAATTGCCATGCTCCAGCAGACTAGATTGCGTCTACTACAACACACTGGAATTTCAGAGTGTTGAAGCAGCCTCTGCAGTCATGTATAGGTGCCTGGAGGTACTAGATTTAATGCGCATTAGCTAAAGAATGTTAATGCGTGTGTAGACACGCCCTTTCAGTTTCTAGTTCTCACCCTTTCAGGGTAGCATCTGGTCGTTCCCAGTAATGCAGGATGTTTAAATTTCTACAAAACTATTTTTCTTAAAATGTTATAAAGTAACTCCTGATAGATGTATATACTTGGAATAAATATTATAAGCCATTTAGTTTGACAAATGTTCTTTTCCTAAATATCATATTTATTACATTTTAATTTGTCCTTTGTCGTATCATGAATATATTTTTAAAAGACTATGGTATGTTTTATGTATGTTGTTTGATATTACTTTTTAAAATTAATTTTTAAATACATATGTGGTTTACAACTCTATAATCACAGAACTTACATCATACAGTTGGTGTTTATGCAAGCTAAAGCAATGTCTCAACCTTGTTTTGGGAATAATAAGGTAGCTAAATCCAAATTATATTCAGTCTTAGGTGAAACTGTGAAAAAGAGTACCAGTTTGTGCTAGAAAAAGAGGGGACAGCACCAAGAACACATGCTTATTTGGAAACAAGACAAAATGTTTACATGTAAAAAAAACAAGATAAAACCTTTATCCAAAGCAGCCATTACATATGAATTAAAAAAAAATTATGAGTATTGTGTGTGAAATGCAGAGACCATTACCTGTTGTTGATCTTTGTCACCTATACTTCCTTCTCTCCTTCCTGCCATCCTCCTCTCAGAGCAGTACTGCGGAAACAAGTACTTTTCCGGTTTAGCTGCTGCATTACTTCCATCGGTGATTTGTTACCCAGTTTCCCATAGCTTAGGGGCAGAGTAAAATAGAAGTAGCAAAGCTACAGATGCAGACATCAATATTAGGGAGAATCTTAGCATAAGTGAGGTACCAGTCCCAGGTGTCTTAGTGCAGCTTGACATGAAGGACAGATGAATGACTTGGAGTCACAGGGTCATAAGACAAGTGAGAAACAGGGATAGCAAAATAGTTGACAAGACAAACCATCAAAACCTTGAGCAGAGTTTGGAAAGAATTAAAGGCAAAAGTTATGTTAGGTGTTTTTGCAAAAAGAAATACAGTCTCTTGTTATGAATATTAACCACAGTAATGCTCTGCCTGCTGACTGAAACAAATATAAGGGACCTCCTGGGATATTAATTCCAGTTTCCTATAGTCACAGACAATCGCTTGCCTAAGCAATCCCCAAAAAGGCCACTTCAAACCCTCACACACAGCTACCAGGTACAGTTGCAAAACATCAGCATCACCCTTTTGATATGCCTTTGGTAAAAGCAGGGAAAATGAAGGCATTGCCAGTTTCCTGCCACTGTGGTGGCAAAGTAGCTAGTTAATATAAACTCAGAAGATTATAAGAAAAAAGAACTTGTTCCACACTACAGTGGAAGGAAAAACCCCTATACTCTGCCAATCTGCCCTATGGGAAAAATTCTTTCCTAGTTCCAAATCTGCCAATTGGTCTGACCCTGAATAGAAGAGCAAGACCCTCTAGCCAGGAACTTCAGGGTTTCTAAATATTAGCAGGGGTATCAGTGCATACCAGTCCAAATCCCTGGCCTTAACAGTGGCTGAAGTTCCAAAGCCTCAGAAGAAGGCAACTCCCCCTCACCCCAGAAAAACAAACAAACAAATCAACAATAACAACCCAAAAACCTCTAAAAAAACCGTGATGGAAACCGGTAGCATTCATGGGGGGGGTGTTAATTGCTGGCCTCAACCATTGATCAGAATTAGCCCTGAATCATGGGACTGCCAGATGACTCCCACACTGCAAGAAACTTATTATTCAACAGGGATGTAGGCAGCTGGGCCTAAGGATAGGCCCCAAGGGGCAACTGGAGTGTCACCAGGGCAGGGGCACAGGTTACTGGAGCATCGGGTCAGGGCTGGGTCGACAGAGCTGAGGGGAGATCTGAAAAATGTAGTCTGAGATGCAAGCCGAGGTCAGGAGCCAGGGGTCATGGAACAAGTGCCAAGTTCCAGGGAGGATCCAAGATCAGGGTCAAGGAAGCCAAACCAAGCCAGGATGCCAGGAAAACCAGAGAGCAGAGCCAAGTTTTAGGGGAGATCGAAGACCAGGCTCAGGAAAAGCCAAAATTGGTTCAGAAGTCAGGAGAACCATGAACAGCAGTGAACACAAGGCTTGCCTGGCACAGACTGAGGCTGTGCCAAGATGTGTCTGCAGCCTCAGTCTGCAGATGTGTTTAAAAGGGCTGAGTGGTGCTTGCAGCAGCCAATGTATTTGCAGAGAACTGAGGTATTCTCCTTAGCCAGGTGTCAGGGGCAGGTGTGGTAACGCAAGTGCTTGGCTTAGCCAGGCCTGTTTGATCAGTCCCTGACACAATCCAGCAGGCCAGCCTTATCCCATACATCCAGGTCCAGCCACATGCTAGCCCGACCCCGTGCACTGACCTGACGCTGCATGGCTGAAACTGACCACGCACAAGCCCAGTCCCACAAGTCCAGATCTGGTCATGTGTTGGCTCAGTCCCGCATGCCCAGATCCAGCCTCTCACTGGTAATCTGGTGTGCTCTCTGGCTTGCAGGACTCCCCATGGGTCCTAAAATTTGCCATCAGGGGACCAGCAATTAATGCTGCCACCACTCCCCTGCTGCCAAATTTCTGGACACTCTGGGGAGCCCCATGAACTAGATGACAGTTCTGTGGGCTGGATATGCCCCATGGGCATGGCGCTGAGCACCCCATCTTAGCACTTTGTACTTTTAAACTTCATTTAATTCCTAGTAGTCCATTCTACAAGATTGTCAATTTTCCTGTTTCCATAATGGCAGCATCCCTTATCTCAGGGGTGGGCAAAGTCTGGCTTGCAGGCCAGATCCGGCCAGCAGTGGACTCCATTTCCCAGCAGTCCCTGCCCATGTGACTGGGGCCAGTTTCAGCTGTGATAGTGCGGGGCTGGGGTGTCCATGGCCACCAGCTCCAGCAGCACTGGCAGGCAGCAGCGTGCCAGCCTCTTCCTGGTGGAGGGGCTGTGCTGAGGGTGGGCTCAGCTGCTGCCGCCTGTGTAGGATGGGTAGTGGTGGTAGCAGCAGCAGCACCACTGGGAGAGGTGG